CTATAAGAAAGTCAAATTAAATTTTTATGAGCGTTTGAAATTCAAATTTTTACAACATTGAATATTCACTCAATTTCCCATGTAGCGATTTCCATATTTTGTTGTAATACAAAAACGAATAACTGTAGATACACGAATATTTCACTGACTGTTTATATTAGCATTTCCTATACACCATACAATTTTGAAAATATTTTGACTCTTTTTCAGCTGTTTACGGGACATTTACAGCTTTCAATTTTTTTTAGTTTTTTTTTTCTATAAATATCAATAAAGTTTTATCTGTTGGGCCAAAAAGTGTAAAAATTTAAAACAAGGCTCCTGATATATTGTTACAATAGTGATTGAAAAATATTAAAAATACATAGGCACAATTTTTTTTATAAGCATTTAAAGATCGAATTTTGACAAAATTTATCAAAATCTCGAAAATTATCAATCATTGTAATTAATAAATTATAAAGTGTTCAGTTTTTATAGCTAAGGATTGCAAATTTAAAACAAAGGTTCTCATAAATTGTTCATACTGTAACCAAAAAATCTAAAAAATATATGAACAGAGTTATTTTTTACAAACATTTTAAGTTCAAGTTTGGACGAAATTACATATTAAATAACCTAGAATAACTATTTTAGTTATTTTGTTGTGATTGAATGATATTATTCGTGGGTACTTGAAACTTCTAAAGTACCTACACTATTATATATCTATGATAGTATCAGGGTCTTTTGTTGATGTATAACACGTTATAAGTACCTAATGGATATTGTGGTATGATCAATTTGGAATTTATTATAGGTACCTATATATAGGTCAATTTTTTGTTTAATACCATAGATTTGAATATAATATGTCTTATACCTAGACTGACATACCGTCTCCGCTCAGAATCGTTTTTCTTATACAATGATATTATATCGTTGAATTCAAATTTAATATCATACATTATACAGTGACCCACTTGTAACCTACTGTACAGCAGAGCGACACCCACTTGCCCACCTTTTTTTTTTTGTGTCTGTGTACACGATAAGTAGTCGAAATAATGCTTCGATTTTCAACTTTAATATCTTGTTCGATTGGAAAGTGAATATCGATGGTGCATTGAGGAAGTCAAAATTTAAAATTCCCAGTAATTTTCAAAAGCGCCAAGAAAAACAAAAGAAAAATTAACGAAAAACGGGAATTTTTACTCAAAAAATAATTAAATTTGGCTTTTGGTAAACTTTAAAACAAAGGACCGTAGATATATGAAATTTTCAGTGATTGTTTATATTTGCATATTCTATATACCTACACGATAACATTTTCAAAATATTTTGATTTATTTTGAACTGTTTTCAGGGACATTTTCATTTTCCATTTTTTTTAGTTTTTTTTATAAAAATATTAATTAAATTTTATTTGTTGGTTAAAAAGCTTGAAAATTTAATAGAGGGCTCCTAGTATATTTATTCAAAGGCAGATGAAAAATATTAAAAATCCTTTTTATACAATAAATGTTTAAAAAAAATACTCTATCCGAACCTTAAAAAAAACTGGCGTTGCCGTTTAAAAAAAAGTAAGTCGTATTGCGCATGTGCGTATCGAGTGAGCTAAAAATTTGAAACTTGTCTGAAAATATGTATTAAGTGCTCCCTATCAACTCCCGAAAATCCCGAAAATCCCATTTCAATACAATGTCATCCATCTGAGATATTCAGTGGTACCTCTTAGCGTGAACACACTGTATACCAAGTAATTCACACCAAGTCAACAGAAGCTCGGATTAAGACATTTTGAGGCCCCTATACGAAAAAAAAAATAAAGTATATCTTATTTAATATTAGGTGCCTGACACCTGTTATAGTAAATAGATATAGATATTAGGTACATATAGCAATAAATAATGAATAATATACCATTTTATTTATAAATTATGATTTACAATTTTTTTTCCTCGCTAAATAATCATCGATTTTTTGTGGGTGATTTATGCAGTGTTATAGCCTAATGTAATGGACAAAACTAAGGCCCCTAAATAAATTCTAACTATTGAGGTCCGTGGCAATTTAATTATCCCGTCAGAGGAAAATACTATGATGCGTTTTAAAGAAAAATGGACTAATTCAAATTGATACTCTTCCTTGTGGATCTGTCGATTTGTGCCTCTTAGAAAAAATTGTATGTTTGCAAATTTTGTTTATGGGCAGCTTTAAAATTTCGTACGTATAGTCAAAAAAAATACAATATGGTACCTATTACCTAGGTACTTTACTATCTCTACTGTCGTGATATTCATAGTAGAACGATGGTGGCGTCTAAAAAAAATGATAAAAGCGACCATTTAAATGTTTTTTAAAAGACGTCAAATTATATTGTAATACATAATTAATATTTTTTGATAATCATTTGTATAAATAATTATAATACTAGATATAGTCATAGGTATACTTAACGTATAAATAACTAATAAGTATAAATAGTATAAATAAATTGTGGAAAATAGAATTAGATAATTATTAGATGATATATAAGTTTGTGTACCTATTATTAAATTATGTTTTACTAGATAATATTATTTAAATACATACCTAAATATTTTTATTATAATTTCTACATTAATTAATTTATTGATATTTTGATTTACTATAAAAAAAACATGTTTAAGTATAGAAGCGTGCGGTAGTCGGTAAACCACATACGAACAAGAATTCTGAAGCTTGTATAAATGTATAATACAATAATGTATTAGGTACATGTAGTACATTTTCAAGCATATTAACCGGGCAAAAACATTTTTATAAACAATTTAAAAAAAGTTATCAAATATTGAAAATTCCAAATCTCTAAAATAATAGCTTAAACTTAGTATGAAATATGAATGCTATGAAAATATTTCATATAGTGTATTTAAAATAATAATTTAAATAATAATGGAATGTTTCAAATATCTGTGGTTAATATTTTTTGAATATTAAATTATCAACAAAAATTCACAAAAATCGTTAGAGGAAATATCGTTATTTTACGTATAAATATCAAAAAATCCGTTATAATTTTAAGAGGTCGTGATACCCGTTTTTTTATGTCATTTACCAATAATTTTTTAATAGTTAAATGAAAAAATCAAAAAAAAATCCTAAAGTTCCATAACTGATAACTTTAATTTTATTTATGTTATCCAAATAATAAAAACACTACGACACAGATAAAGTTGTTCCCTATGCGTTTTGGAATTTTGGTTATTCTACTATAAATACCGATGGAGTGGTTCTATCCCGCGAAAAACAGTTTTTTGCTATGTTGTACATTTGTAAAACGGAGACAACGCATACGGGTATCACTTCCTCTTAACTTCAAACACTCATAAAATTATAATGTAGATATAATTATATAAATAAACTCAATTTTTAAATCTAATATATTTATAATTTATACAATTATACAATATTAAGACGTGTTTAGTATGTTGTCATTAAGATAATTGAAATATAGGTACATTTTAATATTTAATAAATCAAAACTAACTTAGGTCAAAATCACTAAAATTCAAAATAAGATTTAATATTAAATTAAAAGATTTTCTATTAAACGTTAGTGAGTTAAAAACACATATAATAGGTAATCAGTAATCACTAATCTCTAATCCAGAGACCAGAACTAATGAATTGAAAAAAAATAATATGATGTATAGGTATGAAAATCTTCATAAGCAAAATTTTCATCATAGCCAAGTCTCAACATATTCAAACTTTTTCATTAGGTTTTCCCAGTGGCGCATTTAAGGGGGGAGGCAATTGGCAAATGCCCTTTGAAATTTTAGGGGCGGTAAAATGTTTATAGTGATCCATTACCTATGAGAACCTTTTTAAAAAAATATTACTTGTTTTAAAACTAAGTAAAATAACAGTAGTAGATAAACATCTGTTGAGCTTTTAAAAAATGCATACAATACAGATCTGGGAACTTAATTTTCCAATTAATGTATTAATTTTTAAAAAATTTTTTTTGTGTCGTCATCATGGTTTGGGGCAGAAACTTATTCGATTTTCTTCAACATTATCTTGTTCGATGAGAAAGTGAATCTAGTTGGTGCAATTCGGGAGGTAAAAATTTGAAATTCTCAATAGTGTGCAAAAGCGCCGGGAAAAGCAACTTAAAAATTAATTAAAAACAGGAATTTTTACCCAAAATTGGTTTTTGGCAAAATTTATTTTGGTTTTTGGGTAACTCTCAACCTTTACAACATGGACAGTATATAAATGTATTTATCATATTATAGGTAATGATATGTAATTATTATGATAAACCTCCCCATAATAAATTCCTGTCTACGGCACTGTGGGGGGGAGGGTTGAGTTAAACTGATGATGACCCATGTACCCACCAGCCACACCCAATTAATGTGAAAACGAAAGTCCGACACTTGAATAAAAAATAACAAAAACAAAAAGTAGTGCTGTGTGCCGCCCTTGTAATGTTGTTTCATGTTAGTAAACAGTAATCAGTAGTATCTGGAAACTTTAGATCATATGATAAAAGCTGGAAACCTAGTAAGTATATTAAACGGTACACGGAGAACGACAACGACAATAACAAAGCATCGTAATTCGTAATTATTAATATGACAAAGTAGTCAAAATAGAACTTGATTTTGTAGTACACAACAGTCAACAAGTCACAAGCCACACAATTATTAACGTCTAACGACTTACGAATATTAACAAGTATGAACTATGAAGTTGGTCAGTGGCGTCCGCAGGGGGGGAGCTAAAGGGCTGACCCCCCCCCATTGCCCGTATTATTGTTACTTTTTCAAAAAAATATTAATCAACGGTCTACCGGTGAATTTACGAGTATAGTATGCGGTCTACCCGCGATTTACGAATATAGTATGCGGTCTACCGCGAATAAATAAATAAAAAATATAAAAATAAAAATATCATAATTATTGTAGTAGTAATGTCTAGTCAAAAAAATTGTTGTCAATGAATATAAATAAATATAATATAATACGTTATACAAAAACTTCCACCATATCTCTTAAAAATGCATTAAATAAATCTGATTTATTTATTCCTCGCCACCATGTTTCCATGAGATACCTGCAATAATATGTAAAATATAATATTACATTAAATTTATTAAACATAACTTATAATAATTTTACCTTGGAAGGAGATCAGGACTTGTACCACACATATTTTTAACTACTTTTAAGCGTAATGGTCTCCATAAACTTTCGATCCTCTGAGTGTGCGCTTGTGTTAGTGGATCAACAAAATTTTCGCTGTGGTTAACTGTGTTATGCGTAAAACCATATTGGGCGATCCCATTATACGCTGGCCATCCATCAGAGTGTATAATAGAACCCAATATAACCTCTCTTTTAATAATGTCATACAAAGTTTGCTTGTCCCGCTTTTCGACTTGTATGATGACATCAGGTCCTCCAAATTTATTACGTTTTTCGAACATTTTTAGTGGTATATCCCGACACAAATTCATCCAGTCACATACGGTGTTGGACGATCTTCCAGTTAAGGACATGATTGTTTTATTGGATAAACCTTGAGTCCAGTAGAACACTAGTTCTAACTGTTGACTGAGGCTTAGTCCACTATTTAGACGACCATTCTTGTCAATATAAGTCCAAAAAGCATTATCTTTCCTATATAATAGTATAACTGTTAGTAGTATAATTATTATTAATAGAATAATTTTCTTACCTTAAGGTTTGTGTTGTTTGACATCCCTTTCTCTTACAACGTAAAACTCTCCTTTCCTTACCTCTCTCCTTACGTAGGTATAAATTCATAGCACTTCCACACTTAATACATTCGGCATTTTCATTATTTGCCACAAGATTTTTGCTAATTAAAAAATTTGTGGTTGATTCGTCACTACTAATTATTGAATAAAAATCTTTTGCCAACATATTGGGTGTATAAAATATGGTGTTAAAATGTGGTGTCGCGCAATAAATGACATACTGAGCTATTGAGCCAATACTTTTACAAAATGTTGAAGTATTGTTATCTGTGTATAATGCAATTAAGATAAAGTATATCTAAAAGATAGAAAAAGATTAAAGTGTATCTATTAAAAATAAACTTAAGCCTATGTAAAAACCGCAGGTAGACCGCATCCTACAGCGGCCGGTAGAACGCATTTTCCGGTAGACCGCATACTATATGACAGCCCAAGTTAAACTGTCAACTATAGTCAGCAAGAAGTAAATTTCATATAATATGTGATATGTCTTACCAAAATGGCAGAATGAATTCATTTTTGAAAGAATATTGTATTTGCATACCAATTTTCATAAATTATCTGTAATTTTTAGGTAAAAGTATGAACTACTTGTATGAAAGACCTTGTATTAAATTGTCTAGCCTTAGCTATATATGTTTTATATTTTATAAGTATTGAACTACAAATTAACTGTCATTTTGACGAAATTTGAACTTTAAATGCGTTTATAAAAAATAACCATGGTGTCTATGTAGTGTTTGAAGTATGAAATATTTCACAAAAACGGGACACATTGAAATTTATTACATAAATAAAAACACAATTTATTTATTTTTTTAACACAATGTTCAGTGTTCTAAATTCTAATGACAGAATTCAGTATTTATACAATATATATGTATAATATTGTATACCTACTTGTATCATTTAAACATTACAATATTTAAACATTTTGAATACCATTTTAAATGTATAATACGAACGGTCAGGTATATACAGGTACCATTTAGTCAGTGGCGGAACTAGGGGGGTGAAGCCGGGGATTGATCCCCGGGCGTAAAATTTTAGTGGGCGTAATTTTTCTTTAGTTCTTTATTTAATGCTTGGTGATAGAAGTTAAGAAAACATTTTTATTTCACATTATTTGTTTATGATGTTGTAGTGATGACGTTGGAATTAATGAAAAAAAAAAATAAAGTTAATGGTATTATGAATAGATTCGTATTAGTATTATACTAAGTATATACTGGTATACTGGCATTAGCATACCTACTGCAAGCATATTCATATACAACTAATATACTATAATTATTAAGATTCTGAGTGAAAATGTAACTAGTAACTATACCTAGGCATATTTTATTGATGCTGTGTTTTCGTTAAAATTTCTGATACCTACACAATAACTGTTATAAGATTATCAATCAACGTACGATACGTATATTATATCTGAATATTAAAAATGATGTTAATATATAGTTTATAATATATATTATAATATTTACCGAGATAGTTATGTTTATGTTTTTAGTTTTGTTTATGTTTAAAAAAAAGATTTGATTTTAAATATTTACTTTTTCATTTTTTCTATTATAAATTGTTTAATTAAATACAATTTTTTACTGGCCTAAATTGTGTACCCTAATCAGAATAAAAGATTTTATATTTTACCATAAAAATCTATTATAATTGAAGGCTGAGGCGCATAGAACCAAAACAGTAAAAGGGTTTATAATTTTTATACAGGATAGGTAGGTAATTAAAGTTTTGATTATTTTTCAACATTTATATATAACTAATATTATTATTATTTCTAATAATAAATACAATTAAGTAACCACTACAGTATTTCCAGTAATTAAAAATGTATCAACAATATGTTAACTAAGTTTTTAAATTTAAAGTGTTTTTGGTGTGAATGTGTGATAATTTATTAGTATAAACTTGGTTACACCACAGTCCACAGAATATATTAATTACTATATATTATTATGTGTTTAAAAGTTAATAAGTATGTTTGTAATTTTAGTTCCAGTTATGATAAAACAATTGTAGGGAATGATTTTGTATATTCAATCTTGGTCTATGATTGGGCTTAATTTTAATATTTTCCCCGGGCGTAAAAATTCTTAGATCCGCCTCTGCATTTAGTTATGAAGGTAATTTATGACAATTATATGTAAATTGTATAAAACTTATTTAAAAATAAAACAAAATATATTAAAATACTGAAATATTTCATTTTTTTAAATTTCATGAAATTTTCAAACACTATGCTTATGTATCGTTAATATTAAGCTATAATAAAATAACTTACCGGATAAATAATTTTTTATTGACATTTATAGAAAAAAAAAATTTAATTATTCAAATACAATCCAAGTGAAGACGGTATAACCAAACATTTAAATAAATTTTCATTTTTTTTTCTCCAATTATTTTTAAAAGCACTGAGCATTTTCAATTTCGACCTCCTAATAGTACCAACTAGATCCAATTTGCTTCCAAAAACATACACTGGGCATCGAAGCTTATGATCAGAGCATTTTTTCTACCAGAAAAGTTGAAAAGTTACAAACATTTTAAAAAATCTTAAATAAATGTCTGAAATTATTAGACTGGACAAAATAAAATTGTAACTAATTTTCAAGCCCCCCCCCCCCCCATTGAAAAATCCTGCGGACGCCACTGAAGTAGGTTGTATTCAGCAGCTGTAGGTAAATAGGTAACGTCGTAACGACAAATTAGTTATGATAATGATAATAATTAATAACAACAACCGAACATAGAAGTACAGAACAACAAAATAACTGGTACAGGTACATTACAATACCGACGGACGAGCTGTCGATAGCCGTCAGCCGTGTTGATTTTCGACCAATGGCATTGCATATTTGCATCGCACGTCGTGCGTCGCCCGGACCACGGCCCCGCCACACTGCTGTTGTTATAGTCCGTGACACCGTGGTGGTGCGGCGCGGCGCACTTGTTTATGTGCCGAACAGCTGTTTATCAACAACAACAAAGACTCGTGCGACGGCGATCGTGCCGAGGGCCGAAATAGGTTTCAGTATAGTAATAATAATATTACCATTTGGCATTTACTATTTATCATTATTATTACAAGTTTCGTTTTCGTACGCGCTGCACTTCTGCACTTCGCAGTCTACGCTTTAGTATAATAATATAGTGTTTGTGCACAGCTCGCCACACACGTCGATCATAATTATATTAGTGTATTGGAATTTGGATTTATTTTCCGTTTTTCCGACGTTATTGGTTCGTATCACGCGCGTCCCATGAGACGAACGCCACTGTTTATCGTCCACTTCGCAGACGCCGCCGACGTCGGTTATCGTTATTGAGTATCGGCTGTAGCCCCGTGGGGACAACGGACGCTATGAACCGCTGTCCCGTGATGAACTCGCAGTACGACGTCGAGCGGCGGTCCCGGTGCCCGGCGGCGGCGATACACCAGCCGTCGCCCGACACCGATGACTTGCACGTTTGTGAGCGAATCGTCGTCATGTTCATACAGCTCAAGAACTATCTGGGCTCGTATTGGCTGGTCCCATGGTTTTTCGTCTACATCTACCCCAGCATACTTGTCTATGAGTGAGTGTAACGCCTAAAGTTAATGGTTGATGTTTATCAGGTGTACAATCTAAAGCCAGTGACGTTGCACACATTATTTTCTGACCTGTAGCTTACACATGAGTTTGAGTCAGTGTGGTATGTACTTGTTAGTCAATGAGACAATCCATCATTATACTAGCAAAGGAGGTTCTGATATATGGGCATCGTCCTTATGAGATTTCACTGTTTGTTATTTTTCCTTAAATTAGTGATTGATGGCATCTCTTTTATTTAGATTCTATTTGTAATTTTTTCATAAGTGCACTAAACTATAAAATTTTATAATATATATATATATAAATAATATTACATTAAAAAAGCACAAATGCAAAATATTACTTACCAATCTTTTTGTTTTTAATAGGTATAAACAAAAATATTATTTGGACAAGCTCCAAACTATACAAAAACAGAGAAAATATGTTCAGTGTCCTATAAGAACAATTTTAATTGTCATAGGTAGAATTAATTACAAACCGTGTCAAAATATTTGATTTCATATGCCTAACTAATTGTATAATAGCGTGTTACATAATATCCATAAACTATTTTAAAATTATAATAATTAATTTAATTATCAATATATCAATAAAATATGGATACCTAACTTATTAAATATTTTGTTTTTACTAAAATAATAATGATACCTACATTTGGCTTTTTTCAATTAGTAATATTATAAAAGATTAATTATATAAGTATTATTATTGATGAGTACCCATCCCACCTACTTAATGTTTTGTTTTTGTTTTTTTTTATATTAATAGGAAACAACAAACTAAATCCTTTTGCATTGACATAGTATGAATTCATAGAAATATAGTTACTCATTTATTTTAACTATTTATCTACTAAAATGTTTTGAATCATTCAATTATTGATAACAAACAATAAAACAACTTAAAAATTGTTGACCTATTATTTGGGGCGTTTCCCAATGAAAGGAAATATTGGAGGCAAGTTGGCAAGTAGGGTTAACAGAATAATTGTCCCAAGGCCAAAGGCCATGTATTGGCACTCATATTGCAACTACTTAACTAAAAACAAAACAAACACTTTACAATAGTGTTTTTAGAAAAATAAAAACTATATACATTCCTACATAATTGTTTTTGTTATGATGATCTTATAATATGTATATATACTTTTCGTGCAATTCTATTTAATACTTTGTGTTACCAACAAAATTTATAATAATTTAATAATTTTTAACACGTTAGAAATATTTTAGATGCTCTAGTATTGTAAAATATTTAACATAAAGGCAGAGGCGTTCTCAGGATATTTCAATGGAGGGGGATGAAAAAAATGGTTTCAAAATAAGCCGTACCTAAGGGTTTTGCCTCACAACTCCCATATTATAATAATGAATATTAAAAAAGAGGGTAAGTGGATGTCACTCTGCTGTACAGTAGATTACAATACTTAGTCACTGTATAATGGATTGTATTAAATTTGAATTCAATGATATCATATCATTGTACACGAAAAACGATTCTGAGCGGAGACGGTTTGTCAGTCTGGATATTTTATATTGTAATTATATTTTATTATAGCCTGTAAGTTGAATTAATAATATTATAAATTACGATAAAATAACTAAAATCATTATTTTTTTTTTATTTGTTACAATGGTGATAAACAAAGTGTTAGAAATTGAAATCACATTTTTAGAGGTTTTTGAAATTTGTCGGTGAAATTGTAATGTGTCATTAAATAAATATTGAGAAAATTGAAAAATTACCTCTCTAAAGTACGTATATCATCTTGATAAAATTTGCTAAAAGAAAAGATATACTATATGTTAAAAGCGAAGAACTGCTTCTGGTAGAAATTTTTTATGCAGGATAAAATAAAAATAAATATAAACAATATTGAAAAACCAATAGATCCCTCACTCCGCTCAGAATCTAATAATATTGATAGTAATATAGTTGATAATATCAAATAATCAATTCAAGTCATATTTATTGTTCTTTTTATTTAAACTATAAAAGAATGTTATGAATCAGTTTAAATCAGGAATGGAAAATGTTTTTAATTTTTGCGTTTTCGTTTTTGATTTCGTAACAAATTTTTTTTCTGTTTTTGGGATTTTTTGTTATGGTTTTTTGTTTTTGTTTTATTCATTGTTTTCGTTTTTTTTTCCGTTTACTAACGTTTTTTAAAAACGTTTTCCATCCCTGGTTTAAATTATTTATTTTATTTTATCACTGTGGTGTTATCATTGTGTATCTTACCTTTACATTTTTTCTGACGCTGGGAATTTATAAAGTTGACGGAGTGATTGTTTACAAAAATACAGTACAAATCAATTGTAAAGCGAATTGCCTGTTACATGTTATAATTATCAGTGATAAATAATAATATTGTTTATGGCTGGTGGAATCAATAATTACGATAAAGAAAAATTGCAAAAAATAAAATAATAACTACCAAGTCAATATTGAAAACACAAACACATATCAAAAGTAGACAAAACGTGTATTACTAATATGTAAAAAAATAAAGAACCTTGGGGGGGGATCTATCCCCCATATCCCCCCCCGTGAGAACGCCCATGCATAAAGGTAACAAAATAAAAAAATAGGTATCTAACTACATTATAAATTTATTGTGATCTTTAATAATCAATTCATTTAAATAGTAAATACCTAATGAGTAATTCATTTAGAAGCATTTAGCAAAACATTTTAGTAGACAGTAAGCAATTGACAATAACCAGATAGAAATTCCTGGATTAAATTATATTTTTTTCCTAAAGATAATACATTGAAATTTGTATCTTAATGTAAGTAATAAATATTAGAAAGGAGTTCGGGTGTATCTAGAAATAATTGAATAAGACAAATTAATTAGGTATTTTAAAATATAAATAATTGGTAATAAACGGTGCAAACATCAATTAAAAATTCTAACATTATAACATAACCCAAGTGATCTTGATTTAATTACCATACATCACATCATTATAAATAGTATTATGGACTTTGGATTATTTAGTTAAGCTTTCACCAAATATTATACAATAATTGGTATAAAAGTAAATAAGTTATAGGTATTTTATTGTTTGAATTGTTAATATTATAATGTACACTTTTTTTTCATACATACACTTCTGGTTACACTTCAAGTTTAATAAAATATTATGATGTTAAACAAAAATGTCATAATAAAAATAAATGAATAATACACACCTACTTAATAAAAGAAACCTTTAAATTTGAATATTTAACTATATGGCCTATAGTTACCAATTTTCTTTTTTTATGTTTTATCGTAAAAAAAAAAACTAATATCTAGGTACTATATATTTTTTATGTAACATGTAAATTTTTTTTATCTTTATCTTGTATTTTATTTTTCATAATAAAACAAAATATTTCTTGTAATTTGTTTGTTTATAAACAAATAAAAATGTATCATTGGATATTGCTCATGTAGTTAATTTATTTTAAGAAATATTATATCACCTATGTGTTTGAGTTGTGATGTAGTGACACTAGCACTACAAATTATTATTTGTAATACAATTTTGTTTTGCTTGATTTTGGCAGCCTTTTGCAAAGATTTTATTTTTAAATATTCTAGATTTAAAAAGAATAAATTATAATATAATAAGTACTTAGTTATTAAGTCTCATTGTGTTGTTAAATGTATGGTTTATTTTTATTTAACAAATTTTTTGTTTTATTTTTAGATCTTATGGTTTTATTGGGCCATTTGTTTATTGCAACATTGTTCAGATACTATTTTTTATTGTATTTGAATTTTGGGATGAAAGTTTTAATTGGACACCATTACATGATACGTATGTAATAAGTATATAAAATGATCTAACTCTAATGCATTTAAATAAAAAAAACTCTAATTTTTTTTTTAAGCGTAAGAACATACTCATCACAAATTCTTGGACATCAACTCATTACAAAAAGTGTTGATGAAATGGTAAAGTATTAATATGAATTTATTATTCAAAATTTAATACTAAGCTAATTTTGTTTAGATTTTGTTTTGTATTTGGGTTTTATCTTGGGCTGCAGTCCCTTCTATATGTTATGCAAATGAACATATATTTGAATTACCTATTGATCGTCTGGAACGGTTAACTTCATATTTGTCTATGATGACTGTTACATTCATATTGGGTAAGTTCACTATTTATTTTTTTACATTGATGCATTATTATTATTTTGATTTTCACTCTTATTGCATAATATTTTTACAGCTTATGTTATCATTTTACTTTGGATTGACATGAATTTGTTAGAAATAAAATCAAGTATAAATAATCGTAACCCAAATTCAAAAGTTTCATCATATAAATATGACCTTATAGATGATTTAATTGAACCTGGTAATATAATTGACAAATATATAAATTATTGCCTGTATTTTTTATCTATTTTTTTTTATTTTAAAGACGACATACCTGATTTGGAAACTGTGTATGAAGATATCTCTATTACAAATGAGTTCAAAATAGATAACGCATTTCTGGACTTTTCAGAAGCAGTAAATGAAAGTAAGTTATCTACTGTTTAATTTAACAATGCAAATCGTTTTATTTTTTATTAATTTTATAGATATTATTGAAAGTGAAGAATTTCGTAATTCTAGAATAGTTGAACAAGGTGAAGAAGCTAAAGAACAAGAAATGGATGTTATATCCTTGTCATCAAGCACATTAAGTGACTTTGATGTAATAACTGAGGAAGAATTAGATTTACTCAAGTAGTTTTTTTTTTTTTTTCAAGAATATTTCATAGTATATAAATATTGCTTTTTGTAAGCAAATAAATAATAAAAAAAAAAAAGTAATATTTTGGTAATTAAATCTTAGATGAGAATAATTTCTCTTTAGACATTTGATCCATTACATTGAAGCTTGTGACATAATATATTAATTTAAGTTCCTATTTTTTATGTTTAATATACAAACATAAAAGAGAACTTTTTTTTAATTTGCCTTATATTTATGAGAAGTCTTAGCTCAAATATTGTATTCCATGTCATTTTTAATTAATGTGATTAGAAACTTACTAGTTTCTATAAGCTGATTCTATATGAATATGACTAGGTAACTTGTACAGTATTCTTATTTTTGATGGTATGTTCTCTTATGACTTCATTATATATTTACATTATTCGGTTTTTCTTTTTTGTTTAAATCATTTAATACCACCGTAAATTGAACAATTGATCTCAAATTTGTATTAAAAATAGTCAAAAACAGAATAGTGTCATTTTATAATCAAATTTCTATTATTCATTGAATGAAAACTGATATTTTGGCTTTTACATGAACTGATTTCATATTTAAAACATTGTTTTTATTATCAAGCCATATTATAAGCATTATATATTTATATCTGAATGCTTATGATAATTTTGAAGAGGTTTTGTTTGTTTATTTTCAAACTATATCAACACAACTAATACATTTATGCTATTTATTTAAGTAATAAATAACAATATATATTTTTTTTTATACATATTTCTAAATATTAAATTATCTTAACAATTGAGTATAATATTTTATGTTGTCTTATTAAGTATATAATATTATAGTGTGTTAGATTAAATGTTTTTATTTTTTCGTATTTCAAAACAAAATAATTATTACAACATGCTTGTGAAATTAGATTTAACTGTAGATTCTATTTTTACCTTGGTTTTATTATGTTTTCATACATTATGCACTTGTTATATACCTATTTATCTCAACATTTATTTTAAAAGTATTTATTTTTAACTAAAAATCTAAAAAATCAAATTTATTGATGGATTATATTGAACATTCTAAATCAATGATAATTTTTCTTTTTTTCTTTTTGTTTTGTGCAAGTTAGCATTTAAATTAAGTAAAATATTATATGACAGACACTGGCATAACTACGTGTGCAGTGGTGTACATCAGAGGAGGTAACCCCTAAGAAGAATTAATTTCTTAAGTGGTATTTATTTGGGTAATTTTAAAATTAAACTAAAATGTTTAATGCAAAAGTCTTCACATGTACTTTGTAGTAGATGCCAAGATTTGCGTCATGGTCTACCTACAGTATTTGATACAATATTTTGATTTATTCTTCTTGGTCCTATAGATTACTATTCTCGTGGTCCAGATGATGTGTTGAGAGTGGTAGTCATATACCAAACAAGGTGTCACCACCTGTCCAGTAGTAAAATGGGCTCCTCTCTTAGCCCAATAGGATATATTTTCTACAGAAAACCTTTGATGAAACCATTTAACTCTAATTAATTCCCCCTTTTGTTTTTTATATATTGTATTATGTAAATACCAGCTCAGCATTTATCTATTAAAAAGAAAAAACCTTTTTTTCTCCTGAATAACAATTATGTATTGTTATGTGTAAGTACTGCTACTCCAGAATTCCTGGCGTTCTGTTGTAATTTATAATATTAATTCAACATACTGGCTATACTAAAATATAATAACAATATAAAATATTCAGACTGACAAACCGTCTCCTCTCGGAATCGTTTTTCATATACAATGATATGATATCATTGAATTCAAATTTAATTCAATCCATTGTACAGTGACCCACTTGTAACCTACTGTACAGCAGAGCAACATCCACTTACCCGTTTTTTTTTTAAAAAATTCATTAAGTTAAATGTTACTGAAAAAAAAAAGAGATTGAAAATCCATTTCGTTCATAACCTAGAAACGAGGAAATTAAATATGTTATCAAAATTAAAATCGAACGTATGGTACCGGGTGACTTTCACCCAAAAATAACTATTATAGTTTATTATTTTGGTATAGATACATAATTCAAAACAATTTATTGTTATTAAAAGTACAATTTCCTATATTTATTATATTTTAAAAAACAAAAAAATAAAATAAGCTAACAATAGACAAGTTCTTAAACAATACCTAAATGACATGTAAGTACTCGCATATTTCTTTCCGTTTTAGTTGTTCTCATAAAATATCTAAATACTTTCAAATTTAAGTTTGGAGCGAGATGAAGGTGAGTGAAGCATGAAGAATTTTCATTGAAGATAGGTACCTAGCTGTTTCTTCGGTGGTGGTATACCTAAACCTATTAGGTGCACATGGCACATCTACACTCTAGAATCTATAGATATGGAACAGCTAGGTTTCACCTGAAGAGTCGATATTTACTCGTACTTAAGTTAGTTTTCATATTATTTGGGGCTTAAATTTACATTTCAGACTTAAATATATTATTTAATATTAATAATGTCGCTGACATATTTTATAACATAAATATATGCTCATTCATACGCCACAATGTTGCCACTTAAGATACGCCACTTTATTTATTTTCCACTTAATATCCTTATGACTATATCATAGGAAGTAGGAACGTATAGTAGGATAAAAAAGAGAGTTCAAGAACCTCATCCTCATCACTTAACCTGCAACTTTCAACCACAAAATTGACTTGAAACCCTATCATGCATCAGCCACGTAACTAATATGTATATTTATAGCTGTGAGCAGCGCAGCTAGCGAATGGCCACGCTGGCAGATTATTTGCTTTTTCACAACATTGTTTAATTCCTAGGTCTACCCAAGGTGGTTTTACACAAAAAGTCGAGGGATAGTTTTGATTTTTTGTCCGAGTGCAGCGTCAAAGCAAGCAAGTGGCTACTAAGGCATCGCTGTACGCAAATTGCAAAATGCAATTTTTTACCCTGTACTTGAGGTTGGGTTGCATAGCAACTGCATTGCATTGCAAGCATTTGTATGTTTCGAACCCCTAATAGTAGTTATTACTTATTTCTTTCACAGACCTATTAACTAGGTTAACTAGTTAATAGGTCTATGGTTTCTTTGCATGATGCATTTACCAGTGCGCCACAGTCAGTCGTGTGGGCGGCCGGAGCAAATATACTTATTTAACTGTAACTTTTGAAATAAAAATTTCCCCAAATTTTTTCAATCATTTTTGAAATAAGCATGTGAAAACAGTGCTTTAAAAAAATTTCAAAAACAAAAATTGCCCCTTAAAGTAGTCTTGTTCCGGAATGACATATTGATTAAATCAATTTGATTTGTCTAAATATTGTCTCAAAACAATTTAAACATAATCTAAATGTACAACAATATTTTGTTTATTTTGAATGTCGAATACAAAGTCAATTAACAATAAAATATAAAATCGATATGTCATTCCCTCAAAAATATTATTCTCTATCTTTTTTGTAATGAATGATTTTACTCTAAGATTACTTAAAAACATAGAAAAAAATATGCTGCGTTAATGCGTTTTGTCTATGTTGAGCGTGGGCCAGAGAGAGAAAACAAATAGTGCGCCCACATCCTCTTAAGAATAACATGTTTATGAAATATACACTTATGCACATGTATAAATGCGTAATCGTACAAGCTATAAAATCTAAAGAGGGCCATGGTTCAAAAAAATGCAGATATTTTCCAAAAAACTCAAATAACATGAATAATTCCTAATTTCTATATATTACACAGGTTAAAGTAGCAACCCTAGCAGCCCACAGCGCAGCCTGTAGCCGTCTGCCGTTTGATCGTGCGACTCATTTCGGGACGTTATCGAAACAGAGTTTGCCGTTTGGTCTCCGTAGTCCTTATTCTAGTTTTCACTCTTCAATAATATAAATTATCTATATTAGAAATTCGCTAGACCGGTTTACACATGACAAATTAATATAATTTAGCATAGGTTTACATCCCGGTACATTATTTTTCACACCGGTTTGTCTAGTGAATTTCTATTCTATTTTCTATAATACTGACTGCAATAGTGCAGTGATCACGCCATCCCGGTCTGGGGGAGGGGGACAGTCACGATTAAAGATAAGATCTTTCCTCAGACCGTGATAAGTGTTTGCAGTGGCGTATTTTCAAATTTTTCTGGGGGGGGTCCTCAGTTTATACATAATTAATATAAACTATGATATCTTGTAATAGTTACGTCCTTATGAAGTTTTTGGAGGAAGTTGAACAAAATATATAATAGTATAGTCTAAGTCTTATAGTATATATATCATTGTATTTAGCACTACATATGAAAAGTATTGTTATAAAATAAATTCCAGTCGTCTAGATTTTTTTGCCAACTCCTCTATCACTTCATCAACAGTGATTTCAACATCCCTGTGAATATTTAACATAGCCAATCCGTTAAGTCATGTTAAGTCAGTTACATGATATCGATACAGCAAGATTCAAGGAATGCGCAGAGCAATGTACATATAAAGCTAAAGGATGTTCTTTTTTTATATAAGCTTGAACTCCATTATATTTCCCAGAAATCGCGGCTGCACCGTCATACCCCTGGCCCCGAAGATATTTTGTATCTATACCAAACTCTCTGAGATTGTCAAGTATAAGTCTTGATAAACCTTTTTCAGATGCATCAGTGGTTGGAACAAATTGTAGAACTGTAAAACATTTCGCTTCATTTACTCTAGCTACTATCTTATTGAGTAAAATTGAATTGCATGAATCAATTATAGCATTTTGACTAATAGGACTTGTATATTTTATAGTACGAGTACCAGAACTTTCAAGATGTATTTTGAGCGAAGCATCACCGCGAGCTCTAAAGCGTAATAAATTACGAAAATTTCCGTCGTTAACATCATTATTATCAACGGTTAATTTTCCAAAATCACGGTGACCTCGTAGAGGTATATATTGTCGACCGCATAAGATAATTGTTTCAATAACAGATGAAAAGTTTTTTCTATTTTCAAAAA